GGAGGAGAGAGGCAGAGGAGGAGTGGAGGAATGGAGGAGAGAGGCAGAGGAGGAGTGGAGGAGAGAGGCAGAGGAGGAGTGGAGGAGTGGAGGAGAGAGGCAGAGGAGGAGTGGAGGAGAGAGGCAGAGGAGGAGTGGAGGAGTGGAGGAGAGAGGCAGAGGAGGAGTGGAGGAGAGAGGCAGAGGAGGAGTGGAGGAGAGAGGCAGAGGAGGAGTGGAGGAATGGAGGAGAGAGGCAGAGGAGGAATGGAAGAAAGAAGCAGAGGAGGAATGGGGGAAAGAGGCAGAGGAGGAATGGAGAAGTAGGAAAACAGGTGAACAGAGGATGAGAAAAAGGAGGAAAGAGGTAGAGAAGAAAGGAGAGAGGGAGTAGAACCAGAGAGGCAAAGGGAAGGAACAGTGAGAGACGCGAAGGGAACAAGCAAACGGGGAGAGGAGAGAGAGAGAGCAGAGGCAAAGGGGGGGGGGAGATCAAGGGAACATCAGAGGTATTTGGACGAGCGCAAAGAGGGGAATCGTCCTGCATGTCATTGCACTGCAGGGTTGGGAGACGAAGAAGAAGAAGAAGAATGATGGTTGTGGGGATGGTCATGGTGGGAAGATGATAATTATGCAAATGACGATAATCAAAACAATAAGTTCGATCGTAAATACAGATTATAAAATGCAAAATAACATTAAAAAACAATAGTAAATGAAAAGGATTATGCTAAAAAAAAAACACACATGACTTATGATAATGATGAATGCAATAATAATAATAACGATAATGACAACGACGACACTAACTGATCATAACAAAGAGGAAATTCCTTAGTTTCTGAAAAAAGCCTCATCCACACCGCCTGAGCCAAGAAAGGATAATTTGGCAGTCAAAGCATATTATCTTTATTTCTGTCCATGATTCAAGCTTTCTTTTATTCTTTATGCTATTTTACAGACTGATAGCAAAAACCGTTCATACAAATACAGACACATACAAACAGAGATAGCTAAAATGAAACGTCATGAAACACGTTAAATAACACAAAATCACAGACAAACAGACAGACAAACAGACACACACACACACAAACACGACCCTGACATCGCATTTAGCACTCGTGACTCCGTGCAGATTTGGTCAGTCTGGCTGGCACCGAGATTCTTTGTGCGAATGGCAACTCCCGTTTTCTTTTTCGCATTTTCGTTCGTGTTTACATGTGGAGGGAGGGAGCGTGCGAAGGAGGAAGAGGAAGAGAGAAAGGGAGGAAGGGAAAGAGGAAGGGAGAAGGGAAGGGAGAGAGGAAGGGAGGGTGGGAGGAAGGGTGGGAGGAAGGGAGGAAGGGAGGGAGGAAGGGTGGGAGGAAGGGAGAGATAGAAGGGGAGGGGGAGAATCGGGGAGAGAAGAAGGGAGAGAGAAATATAGAGAAAGAGGGAGAGGGGGAGAAAGGAAGGCAGGAGATCGGCAGACGGGAAAAAAGGGAGAGAGAAAAGTGAAAATAGATAAAGAGAGAGAGAGAGAGAGAGAGAGAGAGAGAGAGAGAAAGAGAGAGAGAGAGAGAGAGAGAGAGAGAGAGAGAGAGAGAGAGAGAGAGAGAGCACAGAATAGAGCGCAGGTGGTACAGCTTAGTTATTTAAGTCGCCATGTTGCCCGGGAAAGATTACTGAAACTGTCACACGGAAAGGAGGGAGGAGGGAAAGAGGAGAGGACACAGAAAGAGATGGAGAGGGAGGAAGAGAGGGAGAGGGGGGGAGAGGGAGGAAGAGAAGGAGAGGAAAGAAAAGGGAGGGAGAGGAGGAGAGGGAGAAGAGGAGAGGGAGAGGGGGAGGGAGGGAGAAGAGGAGAGGGAGAGGAGGGAGGGAGGAAGAAGGGGAGAGGGAGAGGGGGAGAGGGAGAGGGAGGGAGGGAGAAACCGGTTTCAACCGTGGCATTCTACGAATCTTATAAATATAAAAAAAAAACCGTGACCAGCCAAAAGCTAAAAAGTTGAGGTAGGTCAAATTAAGAGGGGAAGGGGGGGGGGCAGTGGAAAAGACGGGAGGGGGACTGGAAAAGATGGAAATGGAAGAGGGAGAGGAAGGCGAAAGGGAGAGGTAGGGAGGATGGGAGGAAAAGGGAGATGGGATAAGGGAAGAAGGGAGGGAGTAGAGGAAAGAGGAGGAGGAAAGAACAGGAGGAAGAGGAAGAAACAGGAGGGAAGTAGAAGGAAGGAGTGGGTGGAACTAAAATATCAGCAGTAGAGGGGAAGGAGGGGAAAAGAGAAAAAGGGGAAAAGATAAAGTGGAAAACTAGAGAGGATGGACGACGAAAGGAGGAAGAGAAAGAAAAAGGAGGAAAGGCAGGAGGAGGGGGATGTGTGTGTGGGGGGAGGATCTCTCCTCATTAATATTCTTTTTCGAAATATCAAGTTACTCTAAATAATCCGTACTTCTGACGAAACAGGATTAAGCGACTCGGTTTCAAACTTATTTTCCTCCTCCTCCTCTTCCTCTTCCTCCTCCTCATCATCCTATCTTTTTTTTTGTCTTCATTTGTCTTCGCTTAAAATGTAAGAGATGGAAGGCGAAGAGCAGAGTAAAGGGATTGGTGAGGAGGAAGAGGTGAAAAACGAGAGGGGGGCGAGGAAGGGGAAAGGGGGAATGAAAGATATGGGGAAGGGGAGGGGGGTGAGGAGGGGAAAGGGGGAATGAAAGATATGGGGAAGGGGAGGGGGGTGAGGAGGGGAAAGGGGGAATGAAAGATATGGGGAAGGGGAAGATGGCGGAGGAGCATAGCGATGAAGAAAGGAAAGGGTGAAGACGGGAGGGAGAAAGGGAGAATGATGGGAGTGGGGAAAGGAAAGAGGGAACGAAAGAGAGAGAGGGGTGGGAATGGGGGAAGGTAATGAGGAGAAGGGGGAGAGAAATGGAAATGGGGAAAAGGAAAAGGGGAGAGGAAGGGAGAGAAGGATGGAAGTGGGGAAAGGAAAGAGGGAGAGGAAGGGAGAGAGGGATGAGAATGAGGAAAGGAAAGAGAGGGGGAAAAAGAGAGAGAGAGGGATGGGAATGGAGTAAAGAAAGAGGGAAAGGAAAGAGGGAGAGAGGGATGGAGAAAGGAAATGGGAAGAGGAAGGGGGGAGAAGGATCGAGATGAGGAAAAGTAAAGGGGGAGAGGAAGGAAGAGAAGGACGAGAAAGGGGAAAGCAAAGCGACTGTGATAATGATGATGGTCGCGGAGAATATCGAGGAAAAGCATGTTTAGGAAATGGAAAACGAAGTAAAACTAGAGGATGAGAGAGATGGAGGAGGACGGAGAGAACGAGGAAGAACTAGGAGGAGGAAGATCACTTTGAGGAGAATGAAGAACTGGAGTACAAGGACGAGTTGCAGGAGGACGAGGAGTTGGAAGAGGACGCAAAAAGAAAGAAAGAAAACAAACGAAGCAAAGAAACAAGGAGGCGAGAAGGAGGATGAGGAGTTGGAAGAGGACGCAAAAAGAAAGAAAAAGAAAACAAACGAAGCAAAGGAAGAAAAAATAACAAAAAATAAAAAGGTAAACAAAGGAAATCCCACGCGAAGAGAAAAAGAGAGAAGTTAAAACAACTTTGGCTCCTAACTATAGTTCTCCACGTGCCCGGAAGTGGCCGCTCGAGATGCCCACTTTCCTGCGCAAGTGATTGAGGGGGGGGGGGGGGGGGGGGGGCGAGCAGATGGTGAAAGCAGTGGGATGCAAATGATGCAAATGGAGAAGGAAACGGAGAAAGGAGGAGACATATAGAAAAGGGGAGGACGGTGAATAAAAAGGAGGATAAACACGAGAGGGAGAGCCTAGAATAAAAACACGAGGAAGAAAAAAAAGAAGGAACAAGAAAAACAATTAAATAAATTGAATAATACATAACACGAAAAAAAAAACCAACAACAAGGAAGCTAAGAAAGGAGATAACGACGGAAGAAGGAAATCAAATACAGATAGAAACAGGAAAATAAGGGTGGGAGGACGAGACAGGAAAAAGAGGGAAAACCCCGCTTGGAAAAGTGGGTGGGAAATCTGGCAGTCTCGGCCGTGAGAAATTTCCGGTCTTGCTCTCGGCAGACTAAAAATAACTAGTGGCGGGGGGCAGGGGGGAGGGGGGGGGGTGAGTTATCGCCCCCCCCCCTTCGCCCCCCCCCCCCCCCCGACGTCCCTTGGCTCAAAAAAATAAGTGTCTGGGATTTACCGAAGGGAGAAACGGGGTGGGGGCGGGGGTGCGAACATTAGGATAAAAGGTGAAAAAAAGAGGTTAACGAAAAGGGAGAGAAGTAGAAAATACACTAAAGAAAAAGTAGAGAGCTAAAAAGATGAGAAAGACGAAATAAGAGAAACAGAGAACGGACAGAAGAAATAGAAAACTGGATGTGAAGAAACAGAGGAAAAGAAAATGAGAAGACGTAAATGAAACTAAAGAAGAATAACAAAAGATAAAAAAATCGATGCATGGAATCTAAAAATAAAAGCAAAAGAAAGAAATAAGAAGATGGAAAAGTGTAAAACAAAGGAACACGAACGAAAGAGGAAGAGGGAAAACCGAGATAGAGAAATAAAAATAAGAAAAAATAACGACAGACAAAGAGAAAAAAAAAAAAAAAAAAAAACAAAGAAGGGAAGAAAGGGCAGGGTAAACCATAAAAGAAAAGAGAGCCAAGAAGAAAACAAGAGAAAGAGGAGCGACGAAAGACCAGACAAAACACCTGCAGTTCGCGAGTTCTTTGGCAACTATTAAGAAAAAATTAAGAGACCACGTGGGAGAGGACAAACGGGGAAGGGGGGAGGGGGGGAAGAGGAATAGGGGGAGGGGGAAGGGGGAAAAAGGGGAGGGGGGAAGGTAGAAAAGAGGGAGATGGAGGGGAAGGGAGAAGGTAGAAAAGAGGGAGATGGAGGGGAAGGAGAAGGGAGAAAAGGGGAGGGGGGAGGGAGAAAAAGGATAGGGGGGAAGGGGGAAAAAGGGGATGGGGAGGGACCTCCTCATCCTCCACCTCCTCATCCTCATCCTCATCCTCCACCTCCTCATCCTCATCCTCCACCTCCTCATCCTCATCCTCCACCTCCTCATCCTCATCCTCCACCTCCTCATCCTCATCCTCCACCTCCTCATCCTCCACCTCCTCATCCTCCACCTCCTCATCCTCATCCTCCACCTCCTCATCCTCCACCTCCTCATCCTCCACCTCCACCTCCTCATCCTCCACCTCCACCTCCTCATCCTCATCCTCCACCTCCTCATCCTCATCCTCATCCTCCACCTCCTCATCCTCCACCTCCTCATCCTCATCCTCCACCTCCTCATCCTCATCCTCCACCTCCTCATCCTCATCCTCATCCTCCACCTCCTCATCCTCATCCTCCACCTCCTCCTCCTCCTCCTCCACCTCCTCCTCCTCCACCTCCACCTCCTCCTCCTCCACCTCCTCCTCCTCCACCTCCTCCTCCTCCACCTCCTCCTCCTCATCCTCCACCTCCTCCTCCTCATCCTCCACCTCCTCCTCCTCATCCTCCACCTCCTCCTCCTCATCCTCCACCTCCTCCTCCTCATCCTCCACCTCCTCCTCCTCATCCTCCACCTCCTCCTCCTCATCCTCCACCTCCTCCTCCTCATCCTCCACCTCCTCCTCCTCATCCTCCACCTCCTCCTCCTCATCCTCCACCTCCTCCTCCTCCTCCTCCACCTCCTCCTCCTCCTCCTCCACCTCCTCCTCCTCCTCCTCCTCCTCCTCCTCCTCCTCCTCCACCTCCTCCTCCTCCTCCTCCACCTCCTCCTCCTCATCCTCCACCTCCTCCTCCTCATCCTCCACCTCCTCATCCTCATCCTCCACCTCCTCATCCTCATCCTCCACCTCCTCATCCTCATCCTCCTCATCCTCACCCTCATCCTCATCCTTCACCTCCTCATCCTCATCCTCATCCTCCACCTCCTCATCCTCATCCTCCACCTCCTCATCCTCATCCTCCTCATCCTCCACCTCCTCATCCTCATCCTCCACCTCCTCATCCTCCACCTCCTCATCCTCATCCTCCACCTCCTCCTCCTCCACCTCCTCATCCTCATCCTCCACCTCCTCCACCTCCTCATCCTCATCCTCCACCTCCTCATCCTCATCCTCCACCTCCTCATCCTCATCCTCCTCCTCCTCATCCTCATCCTCCACCTCCTCATCCTCATCCTCCACCTCCTCATCCTCATCCTCCACCTCCTCATCCTCATCCTCCACCTCCTCATCCTCCACCTCCTCATCCTCATCCTCCACCTCCTCATCCTCATCCTCCACCTCCTCATCCTCATCCTCCACCTCCTCATCCTCATCCTCCACCTCCTCATCCTCCACCTCCTCATCCTCATCCTCCACCTCCTCATCCTCATCCTCCACCTCCTCATCCTCATCCTCCACCTCCTCATCCTCATCCTCCACCTCCTCCTCCTCATCCTCCACCTCCTCATCCTCCACCTCCTCCTCCTCCTCCTCCACCTCCTCCTCCTCCACCTCCACCTCCTCCTCCTCCACCTCCTCCTCCACCTCCTCCTCCTCCACCTCCTCCTCCTCCACCTCCTCATCCTCCACCTCCTCATCCTCCACCTCCTCATCCTCCACCTCCTCATCCTCCACCTCCTCATCCTCCCCCTCTTCTTCTCCCACCTCTCTTTTCCTCTCTTCCTTTCCCTTCCTCCTCCACCTTCTCCTGCTCTTCCACTCCCATCTCCCTCTTCCTCTCTTCCTATCCCCCCTTTTCCTCCTCTTCTCTCATATCCCTCTTCTTCTTCCTCTCTTCCTCCCTCTCCTCCCCCTCAACCTTCTGCTCTCTCTCTCCTCCTACCCCCCCTCCTCCTCCCCCTCCACCTCCTGCTCTTTCTCTCCTCCTACCCCCCCTCCTCCCCCTCCACCTCCTGCTCTTTCTCTCCTCCTACCCCCCTCCCCCTCCCCCTCCTCCTCCTCCTCCTCCCCCCCTCCCCCTCCTCCTCCTCCTCCTCCTCCTTCCTGTCTCTCCTCTACAAAGTCAGACAAGCCCACAGACAGTCGCCGCTAAACCAATAACATCGCTCTAAATTTAACCATCATCGCCAATTTTGTAACTCGGTGTCAAGGAGGAAGGAGGAGGGGGAAGAAAGAGGGGAAAGGGAAGGGGAAGGAGGAGGGGGAAGAAAGATGGGAAAAGGAAGGGGAAGAGGATAAAGGAGGGGAAAGGGAAGGGGAAGGGGATAAAGGAGTTAAAGAAGTTAAAGGAGGGGAAGGGAAAGGGGACAGGGAAGGGGAAAAGGATAAAGGAAGGGAAAGGGAAGGGAAAGAGGATAAAGGAAGGGAAAGAGGATAAAGGAAGGGAAAGAGGATAAAGGAAGGGAAAGAGGATAAAGGAAGGGAAAGAGGATAAAGGAGGGGAAAGGGAAGGGAAAGAGGATAAAGGAGGGGAAAGGAAAGGGGAAAATGATAAAGGAGGGGAAAAGAAAAGGGGAAGAGGATAAAGGATGGGAAATGGAAGGGGAAGAGAAATAAAATAGTGAAAGGAGAAAGGGATAAAATAGAAGAAAACAAGAGGATAAAAGAGGAGAAGGGGAAGAAAATAAAGGAGAGGACGAGAGAAAAGGCGAGGATAAAAGAACCGGTAGGGATTCAGGGTATTTCCCGACGTGAGTATAAGTCCTCGTATAATCTGCATAGTGTACGGTTCAGTCTACATATAACACGCCTTTTTAGACCTTTCGCTGGGAATATTACCTGTTCTTTGTATAGCATTTGTTTAACTGTGCCAGTGTCCTTGTGTACATATATGCGGGTGTGTGTATATCCGCTGGTGTTTTCTGTGCGCGTGTGTGCGGGAAACTTAATGTAAAAGTTTGTGTAAACGAGAACACGAATTTACAGCAGTCTCCGTGTTGTAGCATGGGTATTCGTACCTGAGAAAGAGAGAAAGAGAGGGAGAGAGAGAAAGAGAGGGAGAGAGAAAGAGGGAGGGAGAAAGAGAGGGAGGGAGAAAGAGAGGGAGGGAGAAAGAGAGGGAGGGAGAAAGAGAGGGAGGGAGAAAGAGAGGGAGGGAGAAAGAGAGGGAGGGAGAAAGAGAGGGAGGGAGAAAGAGAGGGAGGGAGAAAGAGAGGGAGGGAGAAAGAGAGGGAGAGAGAAAGAGAGGGAGAGAGAAAGAGAGGGAGAGAGAAAGAGAGGGAGAGAGAAAGAGAGGGAGAGAGAAAGAGAGGGAGAGAGAAAGAGAGGGAGAGAGAAAGAGAGGGAGAGAGAAAGAGAGGGAGAGAGAAAGAGAGGGAGAGAGAAAGAGAGGGAGAGAGAAAGAGAGGGAGAGAGAAAGAGAGGGAGAGAGAAAGAGAGGGAGAGAGAAAGAGAGGGAGAGAGAAAGAGAGGGAGAGAGAAAGAGAGGGAGAGAGAAAGAGAGGGAGAGAGAAAGAGAGGGAGAGAGAAAGAGAGGGAGGGAGAAAGAGAGGGAAGGAGAAAGAGAGGGAGGGAGAAAGAGAGGGAGGGAGAAAGAGAGGGAGGGAGAAAGAGAGGGAGAGAGAAAGAGAGGGAGAGAGAAAGAGAGGGAGAGAGAAAGAGAGGGAGAGAGAAAGAGGGAAAAACAATTAAAAATAACGAAAACGAAACTAACTAAACTAATCATCTTAAAAAATAAGAGAATTAATACATTATTAATTCATTCATTATATATAAACATAATAATTGTCTATATTTTCGAATTCAACAATCAAGCAATTTCAAAACCAGACGCGTACGACTTTATTAAACAATAATGGTCTATCCACTTCTATTTACTTTTAGTGTCATTATATACTATTTTCCTCACTTTCTAGACTAGTTATACATATACATATACGAGTACACGGGCATAAAACCCTCATACTAAACAGGTTATTAAAGACATTTGCGAAACAAAGAGGTATATTTTTACAACCTATTTCTGGACTCGATGTTACTCTTTAAATACGTATCGAAGAGCAATTCACATAATGGCACGTATCTTTTTTATAACTGAATCTCCTTTTAACATTTCCGAGACAAGCTTTTCTATAGCTATAAATAACATACACAGGAATAAACATGAAGAACGGAGGATATACCCTGAAAATCTTGACGTCAATCGAACTGTGAAGGAAAAGTTGACGAATTCCATCAATCAGTATATGAACATGAATAAAATAAATACATGAATAACGTGTTTTTTTTCTTCTTCTTCTTCTTTGCATTCCAATCTCCTCCACCTTCTCTTCCCTTTCCCATCACGAGCGTTTTTTTTGAATTCCTCCTCCTCTTCCACTCCTACCTCACTCAGGAATGTAACCTCAAATCATACTCTCAACCTCACATCCGTCCCCCACCCCTTCCCTCCCTCCCCCACCCCTTCCCTCCATCCCCCACCCCTTCCCTCCATCCCCCACCCCTTCCCTCCATCCCCCACCCCTTCCCTCCATCCCCCACCCCTACCCTCAAACGAAATTTACCTTCGCCAACATCCACGTTAAATTCACTTTACCTCCTCTATCCTTTCACCATTTTTTCTTCTCTGTTTCTCTATCCAAATTTCAACCTCTTCCACCCCCTTAATTCTTATTTTGACCTCTTCTTCCTCTTCTTCCTCCCTCCCCCCCCTTCCCATCCTCCTCCGAACCCGCGCCACGTGGTGTAGGGGACCCAAAGGGATAAATATAACTCCACAGGTGAGTTTGCCACACCTTGTACATGACGAGCCAATATGGAGGTTGCCCTTTCCTCTCCCTCCTCTTTCCTTTCCTTCCGGTCTCCCTCCACATATACATATATATACATATACATATACATATACATATACATACACACACACACACACACACACACACACACACACACACACACACACACATATATATACATTCATATACATTTACATACATACATACATATACATTTATATACATATACATTTGTGTATATATAAATTTACATACATATACCCACACACGTACACATATATGTACATAATACACATACACATGCACATATATACATACACATATACATGCACATATACATGCACATATATACATACACATATACATGCACATATATACATACACATATACATGCACATATATACATGCACATATATACATACACATATATACATGCACATGTATACATACAAATATACATGCACATGTATACATACACATATGCATGCACATGTATACATACACATATACATGCACATATATACATATACATATATACATGCACATATATACATATACATATATACATGCACATATATACATATACATATATATATGCACATATATACATATACATATATATATGCACATATATACATATACATATATATATGCACATATATACATATACATATATATATGCACATATATACATATACATATATATATGCACATATATACATATACATATATATATGCACATATATACATATACATATATATATGCACATATATACATACACATATATATATGCACATATATACATACACATATATATAGGCACATATATACATACACATATATACATATACATATATATATGCACATATATACACACACATATATACATATACATATATATATGCACATATATACATACTCATATATACATACTCATATATACATACTCATATATACATACACATATATACATACACATATATACATACACATATATACATACACATATATACATACACATATATACATATACACATATACACATACACATATACACATACACATATACACATGCACATAAATGAACATATATACATATACATATACATGCACATATATACACATACACACATATATATATGTGTACACATACACACATATATACACATACACACATATATATGTACACATACACACATATATACACATACACACACACATATACATACACATACATACACATATATAGAAAGTCACACATGACTGCTGGCTAATATTTAAATTAGGCAGATGTCAATTTTGCCAGATCCAGTTCTAGCGAAGTCTAAGGCTTTTACCCGCCCCGTTTAACTATGTTCGGTGGAGCGCAAACTGAAATCCTCATACTATGCAATCAGAGCACATGCAAAGCCTATGTATATCTTCATATCAAAACACCGCAAAGTACACAAAATACACAATAGTCATTTAGTAAAAAATAAATAATATAAAATAAACCGATAGACCTAAAAGCATCACGTATACCTTTTAAATCACCCACACAGTCATGCAAGCATCGGAATATCCTTGAAATTTTCGTGCAGTTTGCAATGAAGGAAGAAAATAACGGCATGGCGCGCTTCTTAATATCAATTAATAATAACAATTAATAATAATAATAATAATAATAATAATAATGGCAACATTAACAACGTATTAACGGTAATACAATGCCAACAACGAGAACAGTAATAATAATAATAATAATAATAATTATTATTATTATTATTATAATTATAATAATAATGATAATTATAATGATAATAACAATATCAATTTCAACAATAAGAACTATAACAACAATGGTGATGGTGATGATGATGGTGGTGGTGATGATGATGATGATGATGATGATGATGATGATGATGATGATGATGATGATGATGATGATGATGATGATGATGATGATGATGATGAT